CCTGTTACGCCACTGAATGGGAATATGAATCATGCAGATCTGGAATCAAATCTAGGTGGTGGTGGTCAACATCCTCCCCAGGCACAATTTCGATTTCTAGATGGCGGGAAATGAGCTTTCCCAACTTCTGGGGTGTCTTTTAATTACTTTTATGTTCTTCAAGTTCAAGGTTTTCCCATCTTGAAAACGGTCAGGTAATTTTTTTCCCATTGTTATTACAATAAATAGGGCTTATGTGTGTATACATACATAACAATTTAAAAAAAATGAATAGTTGCATACGAATTTTCCATGAATCGATGAATCCCAAAAAAAAGGGGGGGTCCGGGGGTTCTTCCCCAGGAAAATTTTGATTCCTAGAAGGCGGGAAATGAGCTTTCCGACTTCTGAGGTGTCTTTTAAATTAAAGTCATTAAAAAATACTTCAGAAGTCGGGAAATCTCATTGTCCACCATTTAGAAATCAACATTTTCCCGGGAAGAACTCGAACATCCCTTTCCCTGGGTTCATTGATTCATTATAATAATTTTCAAGAGTGTTACACCTTGAATTTTGAAGAACTTAAAAGTAATTAAGTTCTTCAAAATTCAAGGTTTTCCACTCTTGAAAACGGTCGGATAATTTTTTTCTTACAGTAAGTAGGCCTTATGTGTGTATACATACATAAAAAAAAAGATTGAGTAAGTTGCATACGTAGTTTTTCCATGAATCGATAAATCCCAAAAAGAAAGGTGGGTGCGGGGGAAGGTCCTGTGGTTCTTCCCCGTTAAAATTTTGATTCCTAGGTGGCGGGAAATGAGCTTTCCCGACTTCTATGGTGTCTTTTAATGACTTTTAAATTCTTCAAAATTCAAGGTTCTCCACCCCCCCCCCCCTTGAAAATGATTCAATGAACTCCAAAGATAAAGGGTCCGGGTTCCCCGGAAAAATTTCGATTTCTAGATGGCGGGAGATGAGCTTACCTGACTTCTGAAATGTCTTTTAATGACTTTTAAAGTTCTTCAAAATTCAAGGTTTTCCCCTCTTTAAAAAGGTCAGGTAAATTTTTCTCATTTTTTATTCTATGTGTGTATACATATATAAACAAATGAGTAGTTGCATGCGTATTCTTTTTTCCATGAATCGATAAATTCCAAAAAGAAAGGGTGGTCCGGGGGTTCTCCCCCGGGAAATTTTAATTCCTAGATGGCGGGAATTGAGCTTTCCCGACATTTGAAGTGTGTTTTAATGTTCTTCAAAATTCTAAATTCTGATAGCAACAAAAAAAATCAGCTCACGGGTCCTGAAAAGGTAGGTCTAGAATTCTTTTCTTTTTCCCCTTTTTTTGTTGCCCAAGGGAGGGGTCAGGACCCATGATCCCCCTCCCCCAGATCCGCCAATGTGAATTGCGAGAAAATGTACCTCGGTCGGGTACTGGATAAACATTCTCTTTCCCATCCTTCTCATTCCCTCCTTCTGTTTTTTGCATTTCCGATCATACAAAATTCTCCAGACATTATATATTTTTCGCCAAAAAGTGGAAATATTTTTGGCATCGTTTGCCTATGAAAACAATGAGTTATTGTTATTGTCATCACAGACAGAAGCCTACTACTAATTTAGGTGTTAGGCCTACTTCAAGATCAATTCATCTGTGTACTGCTAAATTGAGTACACTCCCTTTCGTTATACCCTTCCGTGAACAAAGAGAGCGTATGATGTTTCTTTCCGCAATGGTATGATGAATTAAAATGGAATTGTGCTTTTATTAATTATCACAGTTTTGATCATACATTTAGCACATTGGATCGATTCCTGTTGGCCTGCGTTGCAGTAGCTTTAATATTGGTATGCAATTTCTAAAATCCCGGTGTCAGATTATATCAACCACATCGGTTGAATTAGGTCGATCGGTTAAAAACACGACGAATATTTTAATAACTAAAAACCACTCGTTTTGTAATTTATTTTTTAACAAGCAAAATTAAAAGCACTGCCAAAACGGTTGTCTATAATTAAACTTTAAACGTTTCCAACGATTTGCATTGTTTGTTTTGTTCATTCATTGGCTGCTGTAATTAATTTATGATTACCATTCTCGCGCGAATAAGCGCCCCCTTCGAATAATATCATAAGATTTTCTTTTTAGCAAGTCAATAATCATGGGACTGTGGTTGTTGGCATGATTTGAGCTGTAGAGTGGAATCACATTCTTCTTAGGTCAATATCAAAATGAGGATATTTCTCTTGGACAGATGAGAGCTCCGAACCCTGGACAGACAGTATATTTCCAACTTTCCTCTTACATATTTGTCTAGCCCTAGTCCTATTCCTCATTTTCTTTTTCCGACAATTTGCACCTTCAGCACATTCTCATCCGAGTTTTCAAGAAAACATGCAATGATCCTGCCATCCTGCTAATCTCAATCGGCCAATGGCCAACAAGCTAACCACTACCCACAACCATTAATTGCATCTGCTATTCTGTTATGTAAATATTCACAGCATTCTTGTCATTCTTGCCATGTTCTCTGAACGATTATCTTTTCCGCCGCACCCCCATTCGTAATGTCCTTATATAATCTTTTTTCATTCAAAAAGTACCTTTTTAATTTAATAAGTTGCCATAAGAACCCCTCGATTTTCATCTATTTCCATAAGCGCCCCCTCAATTTCCGATCTGTTTTCATAAGCGCCCCATTTAAATAAGCGCCCCTCAGAAAGTGCAAAAAAAAAACCAAAAAAAAAAACGTTTTAAGCGCCAGGGCGCTTATTCGCGCGAGTACGGTATACGGTAGTGTAAAGGACTGCATGAATTTAACAAATACTATAACGAAAAAGGTACCAAAGTTAAAGGTTATGCATTTATAGCGTAATACGAGGGTATGCGCAGAAATAATTGTATTCCACACCAAACCGTGAATTTATTAATTATATACTAAACATGATTTACTTACAAGTGAGAAAATGTTTAAAATATATGAACAACATGAGTTTAAAAATGTTAAAAAATATATAAACAACTTCTGTCATATTAATTTATGATTATAGTGTAAAGGACTGCATGCTTTTAACAAATACTATAACGAAAACGATACAAGGGTTAAAAGTTATGCATTTATACCGTAATACGAGGGTCTATGCGCAGAAACAAGTGTTAATTACATACTAAACATTATTTACAAGTGAAAAAATGTTGAAAATATATAAACAACTTGAAGTTTTAAATAAAAGGGTTAATAAAAAATGGTTTATTTCGTAATATGTACGATTTGCTCAAATGCCGCTAAGCTTTGTAAACGGTTGTTTGTTAATTAGACCGACAGCATTCAATACTGCAAAATGGCACTTAGGTGCTTCCGTACCTATGTGTGCTCAGCGACTTAGTGTTGAGTTTTTTGCTGTCAGAATTAGAATTGTAATAACATTGCAATTTCTGTCCATTTTTTTAAATTATAAAATAAGAATAGCCACTATGTAGTAAAAATGCGTTGCATATAACATCAAGAAAGAACACGTTGATTAAATCAAACATAATGGTCCTAACATCAGCCCAATTCAATACAAGCAGGCTTCTTTGTTCATGTTCGAAGATATGCAATACAAACTCAAACTAATTTGCCTTTTTCTGTCTGTCCATCAGTCAGTCAGTGGTGGCGCCATAATTTTCCCGACGGGGGAGGGGGTCCGATGACCCGACGAAAACAATTGGGTGAGGTCGGGGGGTCGCTCAAAATCTCTTGAAAGTGTTTTATGAGTGCAAAGCGTCCAAAAAAAATATGACAATTTAGGGGTTTTAAATATTATTTAATCCATTTTGGAACCCACTAATATGTAGAAAATATGTCTAGTACAATGTATTTTTCTCCCCGACGAATTGTAGTTTTTCTTCCCGACAAGGTGGAGGTGGGGAGCTCTCCTGTGGTGGGGCGCCACCTCTATAGTCAGTCAGTCAGTCAGTCATGAATTTCAGGCGGTGTTAAGTCGGTACCTTCTAGTCGATTTACACTCAATTGACTACACATAACATGTGGGCCTATCTTACATGGTGCCTATCTATTAATTAACTTTAATTGTAACATTCAAACCTTAGTAGTAAACTTCAGTTTTAGTCAACTGTGGTTGAGGAACATTTTTCGCCTGTTTCTGTCTCTCAGTTTGTAAAGGATTTGACTGTACTTTCTAATTTCTAATATAATTTAGAGTTTCACTATTTAGGTGTATTTTCTAATTTCTAATATAATTTAGAGTTCCACTAATAATAGAATAATAATATGAGGTAAAGATTGACCAATTGCTAAAAAGAAAAAAAAAACAGACTGATATCCTCTCAAATTTCGGTCATTAAGTATAGGTGGGAAATCATTAAATAATTGAAGGCTATTTGAGGAAATAGCCCATTCTTAAGTAATGAAAGTCGTAATCATAGACTGCAGATTGATAACACTGAGTAACCTGACCGGAAACCAACCATTTTTATCAAACGGAATGCAATCAAACTGAATACAATGCAAGTATACCAGCCTAGTTACATTATAAATTGTACGTTTTAATAAACTGCAAAAATAATGGGTAGTCTAAAATGACATGTGGTTTTAGTAGCGAGAGGTATCGGGAGCCTCTCGTTTGCCTCCCATCGTAGTGTTGTAGTATTCATGCATCTGCCAGGCCTGTGCTCGGTTTGCCTCCATCTGTGGTCCCCAATCAGCTCTGGGCCTGCTCATTGCCCTCCAACGCTAAAGAAAAAAAAATAAGTGCAAGAATATTAGATCTACGTACAAATCAATTCAATTCAAATTTATTCGGCATCGCATAAAAAAACAATTACAATATATATACAAAATGTGGTAGAAACAGTTAAAACATTAAAAACGACAGATGCCATGATAGCCCATGAAAGTCTTTTAAAATAAACTTATTTCGAATGGGGTCCCAGAACAAAACATATTTGATAACATAAAGCGATACAAAAAATATTTCATTGCAAAAAACATGGACAGTATATGAACTAAAACAACTGCTAACAATCAATTACTTAATGATTGTTTCATTGGCAAGGTGTATTTCTACAGTAAACTTAAATGAATATATTGACGGTTTACATTTAATACTTTGAGGTAGTGCGTCCCAGTCTTTGATGGACTTGTCAAACTATTTGAATTTAGCAATCAATACCAGAAGAGATTAAACATGGATAATAAAAATTGTTTTTAGATGAAAATGGATTATCGCATCAAGTATCTAGTACAGTAGACGTGACCCTGGAACGGATTAACTCATCTCTCATCGTCTCTTATATTATTATATTACCAAATTACTATGGTCGCAAATCGAAATCTACCTAATATCAATGTATTACTGAAAGTTTATGCAAATAATCATATAGCTACATAAGGTTGCTGCATGGAAGTGTGTTTGTACACGCATGACTATAGTAGGCCTATAGATGCGTGTGGATTTTAATATTTTACTTACGTCAGCCACGCTTCCACTTGCCCTCAAAAATTCGTAAATCATAACCAAAGGAATAAAAATGAGTGTGAGTCCAATGATTACCCAGCCAATGACACGTCCCCAAAGTGGGTATAACTCGTCATTGTATGTTGGCTCGCTCCAGTTCATCCAATTGTAAAGCAACACAAACTGAAATATAAATCGGATCATCGTCAATTCAATTCAAATTCATTTCAGGTTTATTTCGTGTTAAATTTCATACAAAAACACAAACATCACAATTACAAGAAACAAAGAATAAAAGCAAAGGTAATGCTGCCAACCCGGGCTCTCCTATATTTAGTTTTCACATCATCATAACGTGAAAAGATGTGTAATGAAATGAGAATGATGGTCATGATAATACACAGTAATAATAATGATGATGATGATATCGTTATGGTGATGATAATGATAATTACGATGCTCGATAAGGATTTGTGTTGCAGTTGTCATAAGTTATTCAAATTCAAATTCAAATTTTGATATACTTTTACTATAAATCTCTGTTGGAAAGGTCGTAAAGTTATCAGATAGCATTTTCCATTTGTTAGATACAATGTCGATGCTTCTTTGATCTTGTCACTTCACTTCTACATTTGTTAACGTCAAATTTGGATTCATAGTGGTTTGTAAGTTCATCGATGAAAATTGAATCATGATTATCACTGGCATTTAACGCCTTTCTTTTACAATCATCAACAGCTAGCTTTCCATAATTTACTAGGATTCTTTTGACAATGAAGTCTATTAAGTGAATTGTGTTTTTTAGATGCAGCATTTTTAACTGTACTGTACTACTTCATTGTAAAAAATTCAGAACGCCTTGACATTTTATAAGTTATGTCATCGTTGTTATTTTAAAAATTATAGAATTTTGAGTTTATGAGGTCTGTTCTAAACCTAAAACCACGTTTTTTGAAGAATTAAAATATAATAATTATTAATAATTTTCCCGCCAAATCTTTCCCTCTACACTGGAAACTATGCCATTGTTTTTGGCTTTCCTTCCCCCAGCTAGAAAAATGCCACTGTCTTGGCTTTCTAGCCACGCCCCGCCCTTCTATTCAGACCGTGAATTTTAGCTTTTGTATAGCTTTTCACTAGTAGGCTCAGCCTTTGTTTAGTTTTCAACCAATCAGCAGCAAGTCTCATCACTCAAACATATAAGTATTTCACTCTGCAGATATTATTCTCCTGAAGACGGTTGAAGCAAGTCAACCGAAACGTCGAGATATTCTCAACCAACAACAACAGTTCTTTTCAGAACTATCTACGTGGTGTACCGCAAGTATTAATTATATAATAATTATTAGGCTATCTATAGGAAAAGGTTACTGGATGCCTAATTGTAATAATAATAATAATAATAATAATAATAATAATAATAATAATAATAATAATAATAATAATAATAATAATAATAATAATAATAATAATAGGCCTAATAACAATAATAACAATAATGATAAAAATAATATAAAGCGCACATATCCACTGCAGTAGTGCATATAAAGGCAAAGATGTGTTGCACAGTATTGTGAATTTTAACATATGAATTAATGAATGCAAAGTTTCAAATAAAATTATTAACCTTATGCAGGGTAAGTACTGTATTCAGTGTCATTTCTGTTCAAATGTGGTACAGTATAAGCATTGTGTGGGTTGTTAAATTATTAGGCATACAGCAATTAACATAATTAGTTTGGCATTTGAAGTTTAGGATTCAGTAAATAAATTTTTAAAGTTTAAAAATAATAGGCCTATTGCATTTTTCTTCCATACAATTAAAAACCAATAGTAAAAATATGTTGTGCAGGGAAGAGCACTGATTTGAATAGTACATTTAATCATCATCCTAGCATCAAACTTCGTAAACGTATACTTTTTTATTCATATTCAAAGATATGACCTACCGGTAATTTATGAAAACTCAGAAGAATTTTTGCAGTTCTATTTTAAATCTAACTTCATGTTAAATTTTTCTAATAATTTTTCAAAATACAGTAATCAGCCTATGTTATGCCAAGGCTTATTTGATGATCTAACTTATGATATCCTAATTGTAAAGATTTTTGTTGCACAGTAATGCTATATAGGCCTATATGATGTAATTCAATGAATTGTTGTTTGACCTGTCATTTTGCCATTGAAAACCTAGATACTTACGAGAAGCAACGATGGAGTGATAACAGTCCAGTTCAATTGCCACCAGAGGAAGAATGGGGCTTTGTACAAGAGTGAGTCGCCAAGCATCGACCTGATGTCATTTGTAAATCGCTTGATTCCATACACCCATGTGATAGCCACGAGCTCCAGAAGCCCAAACATGATCAGACCGATACTTGGGGCGTAAGAATCAACGAGAGAAACCCAGTAAGCGCCCGACCTGGTTACGCACACCAAACCAAGTACGTAGCCTAATATACACACAACGAGCGTCACGAGTGTCTTTCGTTTCCTCAAGTAGCTGGGGAATCCATCACATATAGCAGTTACCACCGTCTCAATGATCACAAACTATGAAAACGAAATTAAGGTATCTTGTTTCAGAGATGTAAGCCTAACATTCAAATGAAACAGATTGTTCATTAAAATTATCAGAATGCATTATCAATTCAAATACCGGTAAGACATAGATCAAAACCGTTTTTTAATAATTTATAAGTAGGCTAGTAATTAACATGCAAAAAAGAAACATTGGACCACGTGATTCACTTTACCTGACTGTCCAGACCAAGGGTGATCAACATTAGGAAAAATATGATAGCCCAAAACGTAGACCCTGGAAGCAGCGATAGACCTTCTGGATACGCGATAAACGCCAATCCAAATCCTAAAAAGATTTAAAAAAAAAATTTTTTTTAGAAACTTGATATTTTATCATAAATACCACAATCTTGTCGTCAGGCAAAGACATTTTTGCGTCAAAATGTGTATCTTGGATCACTTGTGTACCAAAATTGATTGTCTCATGGGTTTAATAATTATCATATTATGTTATATCAACTTTTAGCAATTACGTCATCAATTTAATAGCCCCACTGGCTTTTGCAGATTAAAACCAAAATGGAGATTTAGTATGCTCAATTATGCACAAAATACTAATGTGTAAGCTCTAACTAAAAGAACAGTATGCACTTTACGCAAGAGGACAGGGAGCCGTCGACAACGACAATTCGGTTTAAGCGCCTAATTGTTTACAGTGGTCTTAAAAAGATTTAAAAAAAAAATTTTTTTTAGAAACTTGATATTTTATCATAAATACCACAATCTTGTCGTCAGGCAAAGACATTTTTGCGTCAAAATGTGTATCTTGGATCACTTGTGTACCAAAATTGATTGTCTCATGGGTTTAATAATTATCATATTATGTTATATCAACTTTTAGCAATTACGTCATCAATTTAATAGCCCCCCCCCCCCACTGGCTTTTGCAGATTAAAACCAAAATGGAGATTTAGTATGCTCAATTATGCACAAAATACTAATGTGTAAGCTCTAACTAAAAGAACAGTATGCACTTTACGCAAGAGGACAGGGAGCCGTCGACAACGACAATTCGGTTTAAGCGCCTAATTGTTTACTGTGGTCTTTACACTATGATGAGCACAGAACCACAGTCGACCCGTCTTCCCGTCCTGTTGCATAAAGTGCCTAATATTTGGGTGACTACGGGCTTATCAGAATTATGACTTAAACTAGTGAAACTGTCATTTATATATAAATATATTACAGCTCACCAGAATCTACTACTTCTGGAACTGGCTTGTTCTGCTCAAGGGCCACGTGCCCCAATACGGAAAAGATGGCAAATCCAGCAAAGATGCTTGTTGCACAGTTTGCAAGTGATACAAAGACAGAGTCACTGAGAATGCAGAATTAACAAATTGTATAAATGATAATGTAATCATTATCCTTAATATCACTTAAATGCAAGCAATACTCTTTGTTTATTACTTTACTTATTTGGTATTTCAATGTGCTATTCAAACTTACAAGTAACCGTTGTTGTGGAAGCGATTATACGATGAGAGGGTAACCAGTCCACCCCAAGCAGCACTGAGAGAAAAGAAGATCTGAGTAGCGGCATCAAGCCACACCTAATGGGTGAAACAAAAGTTTTATATCAGTACTCCTATAGTGTTTTTATTCCACCCATCCAGGAAACTTAAGTCCGTTCCAAATTTAAAATGGGATTTCGGTAACCCCACAACACAAGTAGATGTCAATGAGGTATTCGCCAAATAAATGGTGTTTAGGTCTTGATGTTAAAAGCCTGGGTTGCAAACAGGAGCTGCACATAAAAGTGATCGTTTGCCTTATGTATGAAGTTTCAATTTGTGGATATGGATTTTGATCCGAGATTAAGAAAAGTCGATGAGGCGCAAAGCCATGTAGATTTTTGTATGTAATAAAAAGAGTTCTAAATGGAATAAAGATGACACATGTAACCATGTGTAGTCATTGAGAATGGTAGTTATTAATGTGCTTCCAATTTTTTTAGCTGTCAGTATGGTGCAAATAAATGACGCGGTCACATATCTGGTGAGATCCACAACATATGCAAAATTGTGGTGGACGAGCATCACGTGTTAGATTAGAACATGTACTAACCTGCGGTGTAGTAATATCATCCCAAACAGGTTTGATAAAGAAGTCGATACCGTCCTGAGCCCCGTCCAGCGTTACCCCACGAATGAGTAAGGCGAGCAATACAGCATACGGAAACGTAGCAGTGAAATACACAACCTACACAATGATTAATAGCAAATTGTTAAAACCATCATGCTATTACAGTGAGAAATTCAAACATATTTACAGATGCATACATTACAAAAAAAATCTTGTTTATCATTAAAGATAACTACATTCTTTTGTTGTTTATCTTTAGTTAAGGACGTGAATCACTTTATAATCACAATAGTGGTTAGATTATCTCTCTCAAGAATAATATGGTCCTTCTATTTGCAGCAGACATATACCTATCATTATGCCTTAAGAAAATGCATATTATTGTAGCAACATTAATAATCCCAATTGTTGGCACTGAAATAGCTATTGGTTTTAAAACTGTCATTTTTCGTACCTTTCCAGAGGATTTGACGCCTTTGGCAAGACATAAAAAGACAAGAATCCAGGCCAGAAGAAGACACAGAGCAAGTTCCCAAACTATTCCTCCAGTCTCGTTCATTGATTCAGATTCCTGCAATACACCACGTCTAGGTGTGGAAACGATCGATCAATCAACAATTTATTTATTTTAATAATTATTTGAATATTTATTAGCAAATGTATATAGATATAGAAGTATCTAGGTTAGGTCTGGGGTCCAGTACTCTAGCGATATGACACTCTCGCCATGATAGCGAGAGCAGATTCGAATCAGTTAAACTTGCCTAAGTCGACTGTGCCTAAGTCGAATAATTTCTATTTCGATCTTATTTTACATGCCAAATTATTGTGTTTTCCACTAATTAACAATCTGTTAGTCGAATTTTATGAAGTCCAACAATATTTCAATGGCATTTTGGATTTGACTCAGCACGTTCAACTTAAGAGATATCTAATGTATACAAGGTAATTCAAGGCAGGTTTCTGAGCTAAGCAACCGTGTGAACCTTCCTTACACCACCCCAGTGACGGTGCCAGAAATTACTCGACGAGGGGCCAAGAAGGTCCCCATCAGAGGTCCAACGTATCTCGGGCGAGAGGTCCAAGTCTCTAGGGCAAATAGCATACAGTTATTTAGACTGTAAAAATGCTTTTGTGAAGCATTAAATCCATGTTTTCCAACGAAATTATTAGCTTCTTTCTTAGGGGTCCCCATCTATTACTTACTTCCAATATTCTTCGGTTGGCCTTTTTCTGTATTCTGCATAAGAGTCAACATACTGCGATGTGTTCCACATATCATTTTCTTTAAAGATATTCAGATTTAGGAGTTCTTCATCTGTTTTACCCAGATCAGTGATATTTTGACATGTTGTCGTCAACATGATTTTGCCTTCCTGAGCCAAGCACTCGGCATATTTCAGAGTGCAATTTTCCGTATTGAAGTCGTGGCTACAACGCTCCCATGGCAGATCTTTTGTGAACGACGCGAACATGTAGTATATGGCGTAAGTAATGATAACGTTATAGTAGATCCCGACGAATGCTGACGCGATCACCATCCCAAACCCAATACCTGTAGTGAATGAAATCAATGTAGTGTAGTGTAGTATAT